TAAGGTAATGGTTTTCACAGTGTTTTCCGCTCTAGAAGAAGCATAATTTATTTCTGGGTCTCTGCAAATAAGAAAAAATCTTTCCTCTTTTTTAATACTTGGTAGCATCTTGAAATCAGAAAGAGAATATCAATAGGAAAAGAATATGTGAATTTATTTTTATTTCCAGTTAGTAAATTAAATCGTCAGTATGGAACGTATTGTACATCCTAAAGTGTTAACAATTTCTTCTAAACCTCCTATTATATTATATTTCCCCAGGAAAATACAAGAGAACCCCTCTCTCTTCCTCTCCATTTTCTTTTTTTTTCTAAAAATGGGGAAGAAAAGAAAATGAAAAAGATATCAAAGATCCAACACCTTTACGTTATACACGAAAACGTTGACAGAAGAAACCTTGGCATACGCATGCTTGAGTGCGCTGATTTCAAAAAAAAGAAAAATGGGTGATGGGGTGATGGAAATAAACATCACACAAAAAATAATAAAAAAAAAGAGAATAATATACATCTTAAACTGGTTTCTTCACCTCAACTTCGCAGTGGGAAAAAACAACAGAAAGACAAGAGTTCGTTCGGTATACCCAATGCCCTATTTTTTCAAACATGCATTTCAGAACCCAGAAAACATTAATCGAATACAAATAAAAAAACACCCACGACATCCAAGAAGAATTGTAAACCCCAAGAAACCGCTACGTTCTTGTTTTCGGTGCGTTTGAATCCTTACTTGCTTCTTCTTGCCTTCCTCCGTGCGTGTTTGGCGTCACGTGGTGGTGCAAACGAGAAATCTATTCAGCAATCCCAACGCGCATCGTCTCCAGGGGGAAAAATTGTAGTACAGAGAAATCGCATAACCAAAAATCAGTAAGGAAAAAAGAAAAAAAAACCCCGCCGTCGTGTTTCGGACCCTTGCTGGCCACAAGTCTTTCCGCCAGTTTCAAAAAAAAAAAAAGAAAAACGGGAAGAAGGCACGGCCATCGGAATCACCATTTCTATTCTTCCCGCGCCGCTTTTTTCTCATTCTTCCCCTCCCCACCGCCCACCCTTCAAACGGCAAGGCAAAAAAGTTTCCACCCGGCGGGGCGGCCGGCCCAGAGGAAAATTTTTTTTTTTTCCCGGCGGATTTCCCTCCGAACCAAAGGTGAAGGAAATGAAAAGGGGGCGCGCGTGTCGGCGGCCTCTTCTTTTTCTTCTCCTCGGGCGCGCGTTTGTCCGCTGCCGGTCGCTGGGTTTTTTTTTTGTCGGCGTGGGGATGGTTTGGGTGCCGTCCGACGCCTGTGTTCCTTTTGGCTGGCGTGTGGCTTGCCCTTCCCACCGTGGGGCGTCCAGCGGCGGTTCAGTGGTTTCTGAAGTGTTCGCGGGTGGAATTCTGAAGGAGGTGTTGTGTAGTTTGTCTTTGTATATGTTTGTGTTTCTTTTCTTTTTTTTTGATTGTGTGGTTGTGTTTATTATTAATAATAATAATAATAATAATAATATTATTATTATTATTATTATTTATTTATTTTTTATTTATTTATTTTTTGGCTGGTATTTTCACCTTAATTTTTATTTTGCTAGTTGAAGGGCGTGGGGAACCTCTTGAAATAAAAAAATTATTTATTCTACCTTGTTAAAATGTCTTTGGTTTCTTTTTTTTTCAATTTTTTATATATTTATTTATTTATTAAATAAAATTCCACACAAAAAAAAAGGAATTTGTAGTTCTTAGTATTATATGAAATGGCTGTGTTTTCTTGCGTGAGGTGCGGTTATATGTACGAATTTCTCGTTTCTAACAGCTATTGTAGGAGGTTAACGATACGTAATGATCATTGTCCGCGTTGCGATGAATTATCGACGTTTCGTTTTATGAGTCTAAGTGGAATGGTGGGTAAAATGCCATTTAAACCTGTTGGTGTCCCTGCTCCTTCTTATGCTACACTTTGGTGGCGCAAAAAGCGTGATGGAAAGATTGCATCAACGCCTCTTGATTCTGTTTGCAAGAATAATGAATGGTAAAAAGAGAATTAAATACATGGTTTCCCTTTATGACTGTTTACGTTTGCTGTTGTTAGTCTCCTTTATTATTATAGTTATTCTGGGAGCTTGCGAAAGGAAAGGTGTTACCTTATATGTCTTTGGTAAAAAACAAAGTTGGATAATAGGATCTTTTCATATTTTTAACTTTTTAGAAAGATCTTCATGATAAGTGAGTTTTAAAAAACTTACCCCATTTTTTTTTTTTACCTAACAATTCCTATCCCGAAGAGGATATGGGTTAGGGTCGCTTGCAGCACTTCCTTTTTTTTTTTTTTTGAGCAACCCCCAATGATTCGCAGGTGGCAAAGGGTTGTTTGGACCCTCTTGGGGATCGATAAAAAACGTAACGCTTGGCGAAAAGAAAGAAAAAGAAAAAAAAAACAAAGAATACAAAGTCTCTTTCTTTATTTTGTTCTTGTATTTTTTAAAAGGTGGAAGAGATTTTTTTTTTATATATATTATCTTGGCCTTCTTATTGCAATTTTTTTCTTTCATTTTTTTTTTTTGTTTTACACATGTGTGTTTACAATAGTATATATTTATATATTTCTTTTGTCTTCAAATAAAAAAGGTTATTTTATAACTAGTATGTTTGGTAGATTACGTTTGGTGATTTTGTTAACCGCTTTGTTCCTTGGTTTTCCCAACGTCGGGTGTGCCTATCGAAATTATAATAAAGGCGATACAATCCCTATTTATACTGGTGTTGTTTTTCCTGTAAACAGTGGATTTGAAAGATATGAATACTATTCTCTTCCATTTTGCAAGCCGAAGGTTTTGACCACCGAGGGAAGAACCATTTGGGATGTTTTTCATGGGAGTGTTAAAAGAACATCTGATTACAAAATATATTTTGAAGTTAATTCAACAAATTCACCTCTTTGTCAGATAGTTCTAGATAAATCGGAAAAGAAACTTTTTATTGATGCAATTGGACAAGATTATGTGTTCACAATGTTTATTGATGGGATTGAGGTCACATATCCTGTAGGAAGTGTATCTCGGGAGGGTGATGTTATATTGAATACCGGGTTATTGTTTAAGGTTTTTTTCATAACTAATCAGATATCGAAGGTAATTGTAGAATCTTCAAGTAATAGAAAACTTTCATTATCGAATGACCCAGAAGAAATTGAATTTTTTTACAACATTTTATGGATTCCAACTAGTAATAGTCGAAGTATCCCTATTAGTGTATATGATTTTTTTGATTTTAATGAACTAAAAATTCAATGGTTTTCAATTTTAAATTCACTACTTCTTGTGGCACTTTTATGTGGATTTGTTATTTTTATTCTTACTAGAACTTTGAGGCATGATTTTAAACGTTACGGATCATTGGAAGAAGAAATGGATCAAGATGACAGTGGATGGAAACGACTTCACGCGGATGTTTTTCGTTTTCCAAAGAATATGATGTTACTCTGCGCTATAATAGGCTGTGGAGGACAACTTATTCTTATTGCCTTTGTTATTTTAACAATTATGTCAATGAAAATTTTCTACAATTCAGGAGAGACAACTATTAATTTTATGATGATTTTGTTTCTTCTTACAACTCCTGTTTCAGGTTTTTTGAGTGCTTCCTTTTATAGAAAATTTGATGGAAAACATTGGTCACGAAACGTATTATTAACTTTTTTTGTATTACTGGTACCAATTTTGATAGTATCTCTTGTAATTAATGTAATTGCCTCAATATTTTTACTACCATACGCTGTTTCATGGGGTTCTTTTCTACTATATTGGATAACTTTTCTGGTGATTACATTTTTACTAACTTTATTTGGTGCTATATTTGGTAGACGTTATGGAGGTAATTTTGATGCACCTACTAGAACGAAATTTGTTCCTCGTGAGATACCACCATTGGCATGGTATCGTAGAAATTTAATTCATATACTTGTAGGTGGTTTACTTCCTTTTACAGCTGTTTATATTGAACTTTACTATGTGCTTCTTGGTTTAACTGGTCATCAATCTCGTACACCAGTAGTTATTGTTTATATGATGTTTATTGTTTTGATAGTAGTAACAGCTAGTACAAACGTTGCTTTGACTTATGATAGACTAAATGCTGAAAATCATAAATGGTGGTGGCCTTCTGCACTATGTGGGGGATCATCAGCTGCATATGTTTTTGTTTATAGTATAGTATTTCTTTTTTTACATACACATATGCGTAGTATTCCTCATGTTTTAATCTACATTGGATACACTTTTTTAATTTGCCACACTCTTTTTCTTGCAATGACCACGGTTGGTTTTTTTTCTTCACTTTTATTTGTGAGGCAGATTTTTCGATATATTAAAAGCGATTGAATTTATTAACTCGAGCTGTTTTTTTTTTTCTTATGTAAATATTCTTTTGTTTCTATTCTTGGTAAATCTTATGTGAGTTTTCTTTTTTTCTTTCTCCATGTTTCCATGGATATAAAAGTACTCTTTTGTTTCATATCATTCTTTCTGGCTAGGGTTTATTATAGTTAGATAGAATTGTCGTTCAAACAAATAATGAATTTGGTTAACCAAGTTCTCTTGATAAAGTATATAACAAATTTAAAGTATAACATCAAAACAATTCATTGCTGGCCTTATTAATGATGAACTTTCAAGGTGTTGAAAAACTGAGTAAAGGTATAAACCTTTGGCAAGGCTCTTGAGAGGAAATTTTTTTTTTGCGGAAATGAGTTTCCCCCCCAAAAATACAAAAAATCACCAAAGAAAAAAAACAGGACATTTTCCTTTTATTTTCTCGCATATTATTGGTTTTTGTTTTGTGGATTGGTACATTGGAATATTGTTTCACAATATATCAAGAAAAACAAAATTTGTGTGTGTTTTCTAAATACTAGATTTCATTGCGGTATTAACTCATACAAAAAAGAAAAAAGAAATTGCTGTGGTAGAACATGATATTTCATTTTTTAGAGGAAACAAAAACTCTATCTTGAAATCTAAACAGATATTGGTTCAAGAGTGAGAAATTTGAAAAGTTGGCTTGGAATAACATAAAAGTTATCTAAAAAGAGATGAATCTGAAACAGTGAGTCTACAGACCCAAAATAAAATTTTTTTTCTCTGGTTTTCTTTTCCATCTGTTATTCTAACTAAACAATACATGTGGTTGTAGAAAAAAAAATATGAGGGTGGAAAAAAGCTCTATTTTATCGGTTTCAGATTATTCGAAGAGGGTAACTCAGGAAAAAAAGGGCTTGTATAAAAGGAAATCTAATTCTTCGTAAATCAAAAAATATTCTTAGGTCTTTTTTTTTTCTACTAACTATGTGGTTTCTACGGGATATTCAACAAAAAAAAAAGAGAGGTATATTAACTTGTATTCTACACAAAATTAACAATTATATATTTTTTTTTTGACCGCCACTAAACTACATTGTTTATACAACAATAAGTTTAAACCCTTACCTACGTAATGTTTCTGAGACTTTACTCGGTATTTTTTTATTTTTCTTTTTTTTTTCTTCTTTTCCACTCTCTTGTTTTTATAATTTGATTTATGTAGTTCATTCTGCATATCGAGTTACTATTTCAACAATGTCTGAGGAGGAGCAATCTGCTATTGTCTGTGACAATGGTTCTGGTATGGTAAAGGCCGGTTTTTCTGGTGACGATGCACCACGTCATGTGTTTCCTTCTATCGTTGGTCGTCCGAAGAACGAGCAGGCTATGATGGGAAGTGCAAACAAGAAGCTTTTCGTTGGTGACGAGGCCCAAGCCAAGCGTGGTGTTCTTGCGCTCAAGTACCCTATTGAGCATGGTATTGTTACCAACTGGGATGATATGGAGAAGATATGGCACCATACCTTCTATAACGAACTGCGCGTAAACCCGGAGTCCCACAATGTCCTTCTGACGGAGGCACCCATGAATCCCAAGCAAAATCGTGAGAAAATGACGCAAATCATGTTTGAGACATTCAGTGTACCGGCTATGTATGTCGGAATTCAGGCCGTGCTCTCATTGTATTCATCTGGACGTACCACCGGAATCGTGCTCGATGCTGGTGACGGCGTGACCCACACTGTGCCGATTTACGAGGGTTATTCCCTCCCACACGCCATCCGTCGTGTGGACATGGCTGGTCGTGACCTCACGGAGTATCTGATGAAGCTTCTTATGGAGAGCGGTATGACCTTCACCACGTCTGCCGAAAAGGAAATTGTGCGGAGTGTTAAAGAGCAGCTCTGCTATGTGGCTCTCGACTTTGATGAAGAAATGACGAATAGTGCCAAATCCGTCAGCGAAGAGCCATTCGAGCTTCCAGATGGCACGATCATGCAGGTGGGTAACCAACGCTTCCGCTGCCCGGAGGCACTCTTCAAGCCAATGTTGATCGGAATGGACGAAGCGCCTGGATTCCATGAAATGACCTTCCAGTCCATCAACAAGTGTGATATCGACGTGCGCCGCGACCTCTACGGAAATATTGTGCTTTCTGGTGGTACGACCATGTTCAAAAACCTCCCAGAGCGTCTTGGGAAAGAGATGAGCAACCTTGCACCATCTTCAATTAAGCCCAAGGTTGTTGCTCCCCCAGAGCGGAAGTACAGTGTATGGATTGGTGGCTCTATCTTGTCATCCCTCACCACCTTTCAGACAATGTGGATCAAGAAGAGTGAGTACGACGAGGCTGGCCCAGGTATCGTACACAACAAGTGTTTTTAGTAGTCCTAATTTTGTGTGATGGCTTATGTTTATCTATTTCAATGCTCTCGAGTTGTGCCGTGTTCAAAGTAAACATTCATAGTTCTTAGGTGGCGCAAAGTCGCAGTCTCTTCTCTTTCCACCGTAGTAGCGGGGAAAGTTTTATGGGAAAAGTTTTTTTTTTTGCAATTTAGATTTTTTTTTCATGTATTAGCCTCTTTTATTAAATATTGTTGAGGCACTGACTACTAGGGATAATAGAACACGGAACCTCCACTGCTTTCTGAACGTCGTCGCTGTTATCGTTATCGTTGTACGTTGCAATGTACGAAGCTTGTCTCGAAAAATATCTTTTTTTTTTCTTCTTTTCCACTTTCTCGTTTTTAT